CCTGGACGCGTCCTCCCCGTGGGGCCCGCTTCCCTCCAGCCCCCATGCGAGGAAGGATCGTACTGGGGGTGGGAGAGAGCAGGGATAAAGGAGAGGACACCTTCGGGGACCTCACACCTTTATTGGAAGGTAGCGGGGCGTGGTGCTTGGGGTCCGGTCTGCGAAAGGAGGCGGCGGTCATTCCACCGGACGCTCTGGTCACCTGACTGCCGAGCTGCGTCCTTGCCCGCTCCCTCCCCCTCTCCTCCCCTCAAGACTTGGCCTCGCAGAGCCTAGTCCTGTGGACGCGCCCTGGCCTCCTAGAGGACTCAGCATGCATATTCTCCAGTTCCCCCCGGCACACGGGCGTTGCCCACCCTAAATAAACCTGATGTATAAAAACTTGAGCTCACACCGACTTAAATTAGGCGATAAGGTTTTGCCTTAATAGGGATTTGGCCTTTCTCCTTTAGTTACATTCCTCTCCTGGTGCACTTTAAAATACAATTTTCAAAATTGTAATAAACCATTTCCCTACACTTGCCTTCTGCTATTGGCCTTGGGCAGTTCTGCAATCTCTGAGTCATTCCCAGTGCATGTATCAGTGACCGTCTGGTTCTCAGGTCCCTATTGCAAAGTGTGGGGTCGCACCCCTCACCTCTTTATACTGGCAGCAGGCCTGCCCACCCTGAGACCCATTGGCTTCCCTTGACTGTCAAGGAGCCTGGGCGATCTCATTGCTGCCTCTGCCTTATTTATGGAGGTCTTTAGTACAATTATCTCCTCCTACTCCACTAGTGACTTCTTTTACTTTAACATAGTATCTTATTATAAATTGTCTAGAATTCTGGGATACTGGATAGCAGATGGAACCAACAGCTGCGCCAGGGGGTGCTGTGGCAGGTGGCGTTTCCTTTTCCCCAACCCCCAGCCCCCAGTTCTCAGGATGGCCTCTGGCGGCCAATGCTGAGGGCCTTTCACCCTACTTACCAGCAGTGTCTGCACCAGGAGCTGCTTCCTGCGGAGGAGCCACCGGGCCATGGTCTTGCCCTCCCAGGGGACACTTGGGAGGCCATGGGCATTTTGGCCTGGGCTGCCTGCTGCAGTGCCCAGAACCTTTCCTTAGAAGGAAACCGAGGCTGCAGCCCACCCTTCCCACCCCCATCCAAGGCTCAAGGTAGGAAAAGGAGCTCCACCAGCACAACCTGCTTCTTAGTTAGGCTGGGGAGAGTCTTCAACACACCTGGGGGCCTGGGAGCATGCTGGGGGTCCTGGGGTGAGCTGGAGGCTCGCTTTCCTCCAGGATACCAGCCATGGGACCAGTGCTGAGCCTTCAAGGGTCCAGGGTGGGTGATCAGCAGCAGCAGCAGCAACAGGAGGCCTGGCCCAAAGCTGGCCATGGCAGGGCTGCTCCAATGGACAGTGGACAGTGCTTAAGGAGTCTGACACTCTCATACATACCCCCTTCCTCTTCCTCCAGGGTCCCCTTGAACAGCTGGCATTTCAGGGGCAGCTTAGTGTCTCCTAATGTCCTTCTGTCTTCTGCTATTGCTCCTCCCCTCAGGACTACAGGGGTCCAGACCCTGAGGGCTCCTGGCAACTAGCCTTCTCCCGTAGCCTCTGGGGCACAGAGGCTTTGCCAGCTGATGGCCCCCTCAACTAGGCCAGGCCTACCTGTTCTTCCTTCAGGGAATCCAGAAGCAAGAGAAGGTTGGAGAGGGGAAGGGAGACTTTGGTCAGGGGTGTTCTCCAAGAGACAGGCAGCAACCTGGGGGCGCTTAGGGCACCTGGTGCTGGGGGACCTGACTGGTAGGTGCTCTGGCCCCTTTCTCTGGGGGTAGCTATCTCTCTTCCATGGCAGCTGGGCATGTGGAATGGATGTGTGGTGGTTACAGGGGCAAGTGCTTCTACCCTTTGTCCCTCCCACACAGCAGAAGGGGCAGCTGCTGGGGAGATGAGGGAAAGGGGGTCTTCTGGGCACAGATCAGGAGTAGAGGGACTTGAGGAGGGGAAGGTGCAGCGTGCCATGCGCGCAGAATGAAGCTCCAGCCCTTGGGGAGGGCAGCCTCTTCACTCACCAAGGGAGAGCTGTGGATCAAGTGGCTCCTTAGGTGGCTCCTCCGGGCAGCAGCGGAACCCTGCCGGCAGCCCCGGGGATTTATTGATCAGCTAGTTCCACCCCCGGCTCTGGGCCCACAGACTCAAGTGACGTCTCAAACGGGAGGGGGAGAAGCTCGCCGCCCAACCCTTCCCTTCCCAGTGTATGTTCAGCTGCTAGCCCTGGGGTCACCAGACATATGCTCCCTCATCGCATCTCCCCAGGGATCTGAAGTCACAGGTCTCCTGCCATCAGCCTGGCCCCTGCCCCTCAAGTCTCATCTTCCCACTTTCTTGGCTGCACTCTCAAACTCCTGCCCTTAGGTCTAGAAAGCCCTCACGGCCCTCTGTGACTCCCCAAGTTGTGGTCCTTAGAGAGGCAATGCCTGGAATCTCCCTGAGTCCCACCCAGCTCAGGGCTCTCCCCAGTAGAAAAGTTGGGGCCTAAGAGTGGGGAGGCCAGCGGCCTGTTAAGAGGTCTGAGAAGAGCTATGACCACCCTTCCCAAGGGCGTGTTTGCCCACCTGTGAAATGGATTAAGTGAACCGTCCTCATCCACACACCTGGGCACCAGGGCTGGGTCACTCCAGGTGGAAGGTTTGGGTGGCCTCTCTCTTCTCCAAGCAGGCCCGTGACAGGGGGCCCAGTTAAGGGGGCAGGGCAGCCTCTGTGATTCTGTCAGTAGCAGGTAGGAATAATTTTGCCTCCCAAGGGTCCAACCTCTTCCCATCCTGTGCTCAACCCAGAACCAGTCATGGATTTGGGCAGATCTGCCCGGGAATGTGAGAAACAGGTTCCTGCCTCAGCCTGCGTCAGCTCAGCTTTCTGACGCCAGCCGTTAGTCCCTTGGGGGCAGAGGCCAGTTTACAGGGTTAATAGCCAATCTCCGCCTTTGGACAGCAATTTAAACAGCAAATGGAAGGGCCAGCGTCAGGCTGGGCATCGTGGTGGCCAGTCACTGGGAGAGCAGGTGTGTCAAATCCTGTGGCAAAGACTGAGGGGAGATGACATAATGTGCTCCAGTCTGGGACCACACTTCCTAGACTTCAGCTGCCCAGGCAGGAGCACACATGTGAATTTTCAGATTGACTTTCCTGAAAGAAATCTTCGGATTGTATGATCAGTGAAATTGTTTCAGCAACTGACTTTATCCCTTTTGGAATAGTTAACTAAGTAAATTTTAGGACATTTGCTTTGTGGTTTAGTGAAAATGACTCTAAGTACAAGACACTAGCTTAGCTCTGGTTTGGACTTACAGAATGTTTTATTCAAAGGCCCTGGTGTTTATTTTACAAGAGGAATAGGGTGCCTTTATTTTTTTCTGTAATTTGATTGTGGTTTTTCCTGAAAAGTCAAAACAAGAACTAAGCTTCCCAGGGAAAAGCTCCAGTCCTTTTCTTTCTGTCAATATAGTCTTTCAGGAATACTTGCTGTTCCTTTTCGGACTATAAACTCTGGAATTCATCCTTGTGTCCTTCTCAGCGGAACACAGAAAGCCATTTGTTCACGACTGAGCTCTAACTCATGCTCAACCCTGAGCTGACATCATGCTAGTCTGGGGACTGCGTAGTCAGGTGGGAAAGCAGAGGCTTTGAGCTGAATGCTTAGGTGCTGTCGGAGCACAGAGGGGCACACACCGCTGAGCATGTGGTCTGGGTGAAGGATGAAGAGTTAGCGAGAGCTGTGGCAGGAGGGCAGCAGTGGGTGCTCCGGGGTAAGGAGCGAAATGGGGAAAAGTCAACATCGGAAATGCTGGGGGATCTGTGGGCCTGGAGTGCGGTGGGAGAAGGCACAGAGAATGCTGGAGGTTGCTTGAAAGGGCAGTGGGCTTTGGGGACTGGGTGAACCCCTGGGCGTGGGGAGCCTGAGACTGGTGCCTCTGGGCTACCCCATGGTCACTGAAGGAAGCAGGATGTGTGGACCTGGAGCTCAAAGTGCGAGCTCAGGGTTGGAGGAGGGCTGAGGATCCACAACAGACTGACCGCAGGAATGCCCCACCCCTGAGGAAGGGGACAGTGGAGGAGGGACCATGGAGGAGCAGCCGCAGAGTAAGGATCGTAGTCAGGAGGCAGTCGCTACACCGAGTGGGAGCTAATGGACACAGAGACGGTGGATCCCCGGGGCTCAGTGCTTAGGATGAAGGGGTAAGAAAAGAACGTGTGGGAATGGAAGACCCTAGGCCTGAGGAAAGTGCTTTTTTTTTCCCCAAATGAAAAGACAGGCATCTTGGGTGGGTGGGAGTACAGACTGAAGGAAGCCCGGGGATGAAGCTGCCTGGATGAATTAAGGTCTGTGAGAGTGTGGCAGGCCCCCAAGCTTTGAGTGCCCACTGTGCTGGATGCTGCTCTTCCCCCTTCTGAGAAATCTCACCCCTGCTCTAACCCCACAGGTCCCAGCTGACTGGCTGAGAGGTGAGCACTGGGTGAAGTGGTCACCCCTGCCCTTTCCACACAATTGTGCCGCGTGAGCCTCAGTACACTTCCTTTTGAGCCTAGACTAGTCCCTGTTAGGTTAATGTCTCGCAATCATGCAAGCCCTGAATAATACAGGAAGAGAAAGAGATGAAGAGGGAGGGATGAGTGATATACCCTGTAAGCCGAGGGAGAGATGGGGAGCAGAGCTGAGCTAACTCCTGCTTGAAGATATCTGTTTAGCAACCAGGTGATATTTAAAATAATGGCCCACCCACAACCTACTCAGCATGGACCCCAGCAGAAAGCTGCCAGGCCACACTGGTGCGCAGCTGCTCAACACAGGCCCTGGCCTGCTGGGAGGTGGGAGGCGGTGCAGGGTGTAAGAATGTGTCACCAGTATGTGGCTTGCTGACCCAAGACTTGCCCTCCTTCCTCTGCTTGGACTTGGTCACACAGAGGCACCAATGGGCAGCTTGCAAGGAGACAAGTTTTCTTCCCAAACATGGCATCCTTACTGGAAATTCCTTAGATTTTTGTCTCTGCTTAATTTATCCCTGCTTCTTTGAAAACTACTCAATTTTGAGTTTATTGCCCTTGGAGTTCCTCAGGAGAACCGAGTGCCTCTACAGACTGACACTACTCACTTCTCGCAAGCTTCCAGAGGTGGTCTGTCGCGGTGCCCTGCTTCCTGCTGATATCTTGAATAGAACTTGCTGTAGAACCTGGCTCCCATCTTGGAGCCACTGTGCCTTCGTCTGGCTGGACCCTGAGGCCCTCTGCAGTGCTGCTCCACTGATCTTTCCTCCTTTTCACTCATCTGAATTTCCAGCATCCCTTGGGTTCAGCTCAAGTTCCATCTCCGCCAAGAAGCACGGCAGCACTGATCTCTGAGCATGCCTCCATGGACCAGGCTGGGGTGCCATCTCTCACTCCCGACAGCCCCCGACGTGCCCAGGGCTGGCTGCTGCTCCTCAAGAAAGGCCCCAAGGGCCGCAAGGCTCTCTCAGCCCTGCACTGACAGCCGTGGCAGCCAGTTTCCTCTCCTGGTTCCAAGATGAGCTGACCATGAGGACAGGGGCTGTGGACAGACCCACCCTCCCAGCTGTGCCTCAACTAAAGACCACACTTCCTAGCACCCTTTGTAGCTCAGTGTGGTCTTATGACTAGGTTTTAGCCAATGGGATATGAGTAGAAATGAAAAGTGCAACTTTTGCTTCATGTTCTTGAAAATGATCTTGCCCTTTGCTCTAAAGACAGTGACCTCAACCATGAGGATGAGAACAACAATTCCGAGGGACACCGGGACCACCAGATGGAGGATACTAGGTCTCTAGACTGGGCAGACTGTTGCCTGAGAAATAAACGAACATCCACCTTATTTAAGACACTGTCTAATGTGTTAGGCTCAAAATCAAGTCGGGATGTAAGATGCCCACCCTGCTGGTCTCTGCACGTGAGGCACCACCAAATAGAAGTCCTGGACACGAGGACAGATATGAAAGGAAATGGAAGCTGTTTAACACAGTAAGTGCAGATAAACACTTACTCTGAACAGAACGACACGATCCAGGTAGTTTTGCAGCAAATCATCAAGCACTGGAGAGGTCAAGCTGACCTCAGCCCAAAGCTGAGCCCCCCTCTTTTCCTCTGTGCCCCTCCACACAGAGCAGTGAAGACCCTGGCCATCTTCGCCAGGGTGCGAGGCTGGCTAGGACCACTGCGCCAAAGGTATGCTGGGAGTGAAAGGAGGGTCATGGCAACTGCCTTAGAGCTAGAAGGGCTGTGCTTGTTGGAAAGAGTCAGGAAGACCATGGCTCCTCTGCGGCCAGGTGAGACAGAACAGTAAGGGCACGGCCAGGAGTGGCCTGGAAGGACCCCAGTGCTGCTATGACTGCCCTACCCCAGACAAAGGGAGAGACGTTTCCTCAGGGAGTCAAAGCTTTTATTACCTGATAATCCCTAGTGTGGTGCCAGAGATACCGCTCTGGTCTCTTCAGTCCCCATGGTGGGATGTGGCTGGTGTGAGAGTGGGCAGGGGTGGAGGGGGGGAGAGGTTATTTACAGAGCAGGGAGGGGACAGCAGCCTGAACTGGGGGCACCAGGACAAACAATTTCCTTAAGAGCTCTGATAACTTTGTGCTTTTCTTCTTAGTTGATGCTGAGCTACCTGGAGTGGGTTTGTGTTCCTTTAGGAGAAGATGCATAAACCCAAGAACAACAGAGCCCAATTTCCAGGCAGAGGATTTCACGATATCAATCGAAACATCACACTATTTAATTCCCCAATAAAACATTGGAAAAAGGACTATCAGTGCTAACACATTTACATATAAAATCTCCACCTAGTAGGTAATAGAAGCCTATGTACCAATTTCTAAAACAGTTATAAGATATATACACAATTTGGGGTATATTAACAAAACAGAATGTTACAAAATATTAAAGGCAGTTCTCCTGTCCACGGGGCCTCATCGCCTCTTACTTGAAGTTGGCATAATCTGAGAATGCGTCAATATATTCCTGCACCACCTTGTAGCAGAACTCATACTGTTCCTAGAGAGTGAAAGGCAGGGGAAAAGGCCAATGTTACTGAAGAGAACAATGCACCTGCAGCTCCTGACAGA